GTCCCTGTCCCTATCCTTTGCTTAACTTTCTTTTTTTCCCTTTCTTTTTTATTTATTTATTTATTTATTATTTTTTTTTATGAACGTCATTGAACAGCCGACCCAATTTTTGGGTTTACGACTACACTACTATTGTTCAACTACGTATCCTTGTACTTTTGAACCCAATCCAGAAGACAAGAGAACTCCTGGATCAAGCAATGGGAGAAATTTGACCTCGTGGATGACTTTTTTGAAGGAACTAACCCGCATTTACGTTACATGGAGAGGAAGATCACGAGAACCTTCCATTGTTTCCATTGTTAGCTTGACGGAAAGGGGTCTCTAACCCATGATCCGTCTACCACTGAGGATATTTCACGTCAGCACTGAGGTCGGTGCAAGCTGGATGCGGAATTCGTATCGACAAACCATTGCTGGGATTCGAACCCAGTTCACCTTATCGGAGGGCGAACGCAAGCTGTACATATACTCTTTGTAAATGGAGAATGATTTTCAAAACCAAGTGGTTTTTTACTCTCCGTTACCATAGTTACGGCAAAGCTTTCTTTTTTCCCATTGCAGTATTTTAGGAAGAATATAGTAGCGTTCGGAAAAAGCTAGATTTACCGAAACCATGGAAATGGCGAGGGAAGAAGTGTGGAGAAAGGAAAAATCACGTGACCTTGAGACGCCTATTTAATTTACAAAGGGAATTCTTATAAGTTATTAGTGATGGTTAAGTTATACCTATTATAAACCTTTATTTTTATCGCTTAAATTTAGACTTTATTTTTTGGCCAAAAAGTTAAACTACATCCAATTAACTACATACAAATGTATCATCCGAGTGGATGATACATTTATTTAAAGTAATTAATTAAAATAAAAATTATTTATTTTTTAAATCGAGATATATCGAATATTTACAAAGACTAATTTCAACCATTAATGGATTTGTAAATAGAAAACTTATTTCAGCTTATTCAGCTTCGTCCATAATAGATTCATAATATATCGTTGTCAATATGCTAATAGCGAGCATAGCTGATTCGTGATTTTTAGCGTGGTGCCAACGATATGTTACTATAGCGGTTATTTTTTAAATAAACATACAAAAAAATTTAAAGGTGTTTATGTGAACAAAAATCAAATCAAATTGTAAAATCACAGTGTGTTAGTATAATCATATTATACGCTCAAATAATTAACTGTTTTAGTTATACACAGATATTTAGTTATATTAGATCACAAAGTGTGAAACGTTATATACACGCACCGTCACTTCTGTTATTACTATAATCTATAAAATTCACTTCAAAATTTTTCTTCAAGTTTATTTATTTTTTTTTTTAAAAATTTAGCTCTTGTTAAGTTACGTTTATAATTATAACTTTTTTATGCGTAACTGTAAGTAATAGAAAGCTCCTTCCGCAATAAATTTCAACGTACAGAAAATTATTAAAAATTAAATAGCGTAATATATGAAATCCTGCAAAATACGTGAAAAGAGAAGAAGTTTCAAGAAAATCGTGAAATTTTTTACTTCAAAATGTAATGAATGCGCTTCTGAAGTTTTTATTTTATTTTTTTATTTTATTCTTCTTCTTATTATTATTATCATTATTATGAACTCTGCATATCTAACAAAATAAGAGAAACGAGCCAAAATAATCCCTCAGTGATAGTAATAATTAAGCATTAACATGATACTGAATTATTCAAAAAGATTAACCAAATTTAATTTATCTGTACTTCAAGAAATATGATAAATTAAATAACGACATAAGTTAAATTTGATAAAAAAGGAAGATTCAAAGCCTTTTTTTTAACCATCACATGGACGCTGATAGTGTGGCTGGGTATGTCATTAAGTCGGACTTTAATGTCATTGTGTCAATTTTTAATAAGAAGCTTAATACAGCTTAAAGTTTTCTTCTATCTTGAATTAACAAGAGGTTTGGTTGTCAGGGTGTTCTGAGATTTGTGGATCCTTTGACATATGCGTTTGACTTTTTCTTACGGGTTAATATTTAAGCGGCTGTTTACGTCCCACATCTATACATATAAAAAATAAAGAATTCATAAATGTGTCTGCATTGCAGGTATACCGTAAACTCTAAAAATACGACATTCAACATGAATAAATTTCCGATTTCTAATTTTTTTAATTCTATTTTTAGTACAGAAACTTTTTTAAAAAATGGAATTTTCTCATTGGCTTAGCAGAAGTTTTTGTTTTAAAATATACTATAGACGATTCAGTTTTGTCACATATTTACATCATCAGTAATGTTTGCTAGCTTATAGTCTTAATCAAAAAAATCACTTATTACGCGTTTCCTACTTCTTAATTAGTTTTTATTTGTTATATCAGGTTAAGTGCATGATCAATATGATCGTGTTAGCATAAGCGGACTACGTCGCCAAATTATTATTTCTAAAATTCTCTGAAACCACGTGCTTCTCTTGATAATAGCTATGCTTTTAAAACATTATGGTTATGCTTTTATCATGTGTTAGAGTTATGCTTATAAAACTAAATAATTCAAAACAATTGATAATTGAAAAAAATAAGCTTTGTACTAGAAGCAAAATTATAGGAGAAATGGAGCTAATTCGTTGAGGATAAACATAAAAAACCCCATTATAATTGATGCCAATGATAATTAGTTTTGGCAATTGTTATTAATTGAAGTAAAATAATATGCTGTGTATTAAAAGGCAAAATTGATGGGTAAATGTGGCAACTTCGTTGATGAGAACGTAAAATATCGACAAAGTATAATTGACTTTACTGATGCTTTATTAATTTTGGTAGTCGGTACTAATTGGAAAATAATAACGCTATGAACAAAATATACTTACTGGTTGTGGAGAACCGTAAAAAGTTGTCATAATATAATACATGATAATGATACCTAACTTCAGTAATAGGTACTCCTGGCATCATGATGCAGTTTTAATAAGTACGGTTTTAATAGGTACCAATTATACTCTTATATAGGTACAAAGTATTTAATGAGTAAATTTGATGTCGATTATGATAGATTTCTTACATACTCTCGAAGATATAAGTACAAGAGAGCGTGCCATGATTGTGGCAAATTTTAAAAATAAGTTGCCTCGAGCAACAGCATTATGGCAGAGGAAACTGAATAAGGACCCTCTGTTCAACGACGGTCATAAAATAAAATATGTTCATAGAGCCGCGGTGGCTCAGGGGATAGAGTGCTGGCATCCCAATGAGGTGACCCAGAATGGTCGACTCGAAATCTGCTCGCGGCTCGAACCGTACACAGTGCCGACGTAAAATATCCTCAATGGTAGATGGATCATGATATAGAATCCCCTTACCATCGGGCTAATCATGTGACGCTTTCGAGATTTTCCATTCCACGTGACGCAAATGCGGGTTTAATTCCATAATAAAATCCTCCCTTCTTTTACGTAGCCTGTAATTTTAAACCCAATCCAGAAGACAAGGGAATTCCTGCATCATGTATTGGGAGAAATTTGACTTCGTATAGGAACTAATCGTATCCGCGCTATATGGAAAGGAAGACCACGAGAACCTCCCACGGTTAGCCTGACGGCAAGGGGACTCTAACCCATGATCCGTGCACCACTGAGGATATTTCACGTCAGCACGAGGTCGGTGCAAGCCGGATGTAGAATTTGTATCGACGAACCATCCCTGGGATTCGAACACATGAGTTGCCTTATCTTCTGGATTAGGTTCAAAATTACAAGGCAACGGTGCTGAACACTGCTAGTTGTAAATGCAGAATTGGGTCAGCTGCTCAACGCTGGTTATGGAGTAAAATATGTAGATTGCAATGCTCAATTCATATTTCATTAAAAACAAATTAATTAAAATGGTCCATTTTTTTAAATAAATTTGTATAATTTTATACATGTATATTTTAATAAACTTTTATAACATTACATAAAGTTGTGTGAAAAAAGAGTAACACAAAAATGATATTTGCAAACCATTGCAGAGATCCATCCAAGTTTACAGTGATCGTGGGGTCTCACACATCAAAAGATGGAATAGAATATTCGATAGATGATATCCTCATCCATCCTGAATATCAAAAACGTCAATATTACAACGATATTACTCTGTTGAGAGTCAGCGGATCAGTGCAATTATCGAAAAAAGTCTATCCAGTTTGTTTACCATCCGATGGATTAAAAAGCAAAATCAAAGTTGGTGCAAGTAATGTGACCGTCACTGGTTGGGGTGACACCACGTTTGGTAAGTTCAGCATAAAATAAATGTAAGAACTAATACGTGGTAAGACCATGCCATATTCTTTGATAGCTTAACTATGTGAAGCTTAAATAAATAAATGCTTTAAAAAAATAATGAAACATTTCAATAAACGTAGGTTATATTCAATTAATAAAAATGAAGACCAAACTTGATAATCGTTCAACTTCACATTGTCCCCAAATATTTAAACTGATAGCAGAATTTATTCGTTAATATTTCATTCGTAATATTTCATTAATAATATTATTATGATGCGTTATAATCAAAGTTTTGATGTTTTTAAGTTTGAAAAACATTTCATTGCTTAATTTTTCACTATAAATATTGTGAAATAATATGTGATATTAATATCACTATAAATATTGCGAAAAGCTTAAGTTTCCAGGCCATCAGAGATTAATGGTTCTACACCAAAGTGGTAAGAATCCCAAAAAATATCAAAAGAAATTGAAGAAAAAATTGTTTTTGATAACTCCTTCACTGTGAAAAAAAATATGGTCAAGACTACCAGAATATGGTAAAATTTACCGTGTTCGTTAACGTCAAAAATACAGGTAATTCTTGCCGAATTACTTTGGTAATGATATTGGAAGGATTAATCATAAAATATGGTTTTATAAATGTGATAAATTTTGGTAATTTCATAATGATATCTGAAACCATGGCATGTAAACCATTTATTCCTTTAAATTTACTTCAGTTTTATATTTTTTTACTAAGTGTGTGATAAAAAGATCTATAATTTTGAAAATCAAAATTTGTGGTAAACCATTAACACATGAACATAAAAATTACGAAATGAATGGTTTTAATACCGTATATTTCGGTTTTTATTACCAGAATTATGTTTGTTTTCAGCAGAAATGTCCTTTCCTTATAGTAATATAATTTCACTAGAATTTCTTTGCCAGTATTTATTTTTGAATTAAAAAAGTACATCTGGATGTGCAAACTGACCAACTTATCTCCAAAAATTACAAATAATTTCAACAGTCTTATGAAACATATGTCACCTCCTCTTCTATGTTATATTTTATTAAATTGAGTTAATTAGGTGTAAATGCGAATAGCTAAAAAGTTTATACGTTGACAATAAGAAAATAAATATATGTCTTGGTTTTAACTTGTAACTACGAGTATCCTTCAGAGACTTTCTAAGATTAATCGAATCGTTGACAATTCGTTGCCAAATGCACTCAAAACCTTCTTCCATTCCACTTCGAAAACACTAAAATATATAGTCACTTATCACCTTCATCCACTGCCAACGAAATTTAAAGACTTCACGAAAAAATAATTTCGTATAGTTAAACAAGACTGAAATATAAATTTTCAATAAATTTTTCATCTTCCACTTAGCCTTTAAATCATAATTAAAAAAATTGTAGAAAAAAATTAGAAAAAGTTCTGCTAAGTTTTTTTAGTAAAGAATAAGCAATACATTTCTCATTAACTCATAGTAAAGCAATACTAGCAACTTGTTTTATCGTGGCAGATAAAATTTATATTTGCTTAAAATTTTTGCTAATCGTTGAGTTTATAACGAACTATTTCTAACCCAGCTTGATAACGATAGAAATTTCTCTGTATTTGAATTTTAAATCTGAGACTATATTGAGCTTCTTCGTGTGCTTTTGAACAGGTCATAATATGGAAGCGCCTCTAGTCACGTACAAAGACAATTCCGGGAATTGGTTCCTAGACAGTTTTTTATCTTGATGATGTGCTTTAACAATCATAAAAGTATGTCGCCACGCTTACGCGACCTTCTGTTGTCTCTATCGTTTTTAAATGTGTACATTTCGACATAAAATAGGCTATAAATGTCATTTTAAAAAAATCTATAAATTTAGGACCGAAACTAATTTAAAATCCCCACATCCAAATTAGGCAAGATCAAGTATTTGTATAAATACAAACAAAATTTGTTTCCTTGCAAAATAAGTAGATGGCATACCTGCCAACTTTCACTCTTTGCGAGAATGGATTTTCAGAGCGATTGTAAAACAATAAAAGAAAAACAATCCGATTCAAAAATATATTTATATTTTGATTCCTTTTAAATTCACTTGCAGAAGTAATATTATGCTTTTATATATTTATTGTAATTATTTATACGTAGTGGTAGTCAAACTCATTTATAATTATCATTATAATTCCAAAAGTTAATTGGAGTAACATGAGTATTGCTACCATTTTAAATATGAAAATAAAATCTTCCGGAAAATCCGGAAGAGTTGATAGGTATGAGATGGTACATTTATATGTTTTCATATGCGGTCGACGAACATATTTAAGCATGTAAAAATTTCATACGGGATGTATTTTGCAGCCTAATATACCCGGTTGAACATTGAAATTTTGAGACACTTCAAGTCCTATCAGAAAGTATTGCTCGACAAGAGGTTTTCTACCAAGTTTATCTGCTTAAACAATTTTGTATAACTTTCTTTAAAATACAGCAAATATAAACGTAAAATTATTTTCTTTTATATAATTTTCCCTCTTTTATCAAATTTTAATAAACAAATAAAAATTCTGATTACAGGTGGAGTGAATAGCAAAGTATTGCAAGAAGTGAGTATGCCAATAGTACCTCTCAAAGAGTGCAATGCCTCTTATTCCAAGATTCCTCTAACGAATTTCCCTAAAGGCATTACAACAGAATTCATGTGTGCTGGTTATAAAGAGGGTGGAAAAGATGCCTGTCAAGTAAGACAAATATCATTAGAATCTATGTTATTTTACACCACATAAAACGCTTATACGTACGTGGTAATAAAATCGATTAAGAATCTTATTACGCGGTGGCATAAGCATAAAGCAAAGCAGTTAAACTCCGTTTCATTTATTCCTTATTTTGTTTTATTTTCAGAGAAATTAAATTTTGTTGAAAGATAAATTTTATGTTCCTTGAGTTAAATTTTGTAATAAGACATAATAATTTGTAATAATGTTTAAATAATGCCTAATAATCTGTGTACGGTGTATAGTAATTTACGGACAAGAGAGATCCATTGTTATGAGACTTCAGGATATCTGCATCAGAATAATGAAATATCAACAGAAAATAGTCAGAAATGTTACGGTTTGCCTTATAGGAAGGTGAACGTTTTGTGACAAGAATTATTTTTGTAGCCTTAATCATTTTGCTGTTAAATTTGAAAACCATCAATTTAAATTATGGCACCCTGTATATCAAACTAATAAAATTTTAAAACGCTTATAAAAGTACCCCAATGTACATTAATATATCTTTTTAAAAGGTTTTAGAACGAAATATTTTGTATTAAAACTCTTTTTTATTTTATTTAACAGGGTGATTCAGGTGGTCCAATGACAACAGAACTCACAGATAAATCTTGGGTTCAGCTTGGCATTGTTTCATTTGGATATGGTTGCGCCAGAGCCGGCTTTCCTGGCGTCTATACAAGACTTTCTCATTACACACAATGGCTCTACGATAACACTGATCTCGGAAAGTAATAAACAGATTAATGTAATCCAACAGATCACTAACTCATCAGTGAAAAATGACAGGAAAAAATGAACAGGCGGGCAGAACGTATGCACGTTTCTCAGGTTCTTGAACAGGAATGCTTATCGGTTGAACCAAAAACGACTGATGCTTTAAAAAGTCAAAGAAAAGCGGAAAGTTATAAAAATTTACAGTCTGCTGCCCTTGCCTAGTGACATTACGCATCTATTCTCACCCTGTTTCAAGATTAGTTACGAAGTTCATCAACATATGGCTCTGCAACCTGGCAGAATCCCAAAACGCCGTTGAAATGATTCAGACATGTACTGTGTCATGTCAGAATGTTATTGCTGCAAATGGTGATAATATTGAAAACATTGTTTTATAGTTTGTATTAGTCAGCAGCACCATCTGTTGACTGAATCTGAAGTTTTCTTTGTCACAAAGGGTGTTTAAGTTTTTTTCACATTTGTACTTCCAGTTGCAGGAAGCAGGCGTCCGAAAAAAAGATATTTTTTTCTTCAAAAATTAAATAGTAAAAATTGCTTAAAATGTCACTCTTTATATTGACTTACTTTTGTATATATGTCTTATTTTATATATGTCTTACTTTTATATACGTCTTACTTTTATATATGTCTTACTTTTAAAATTTTATCTCACTGTTATTAAAAAATTAAGGAAAAAAATATTATTTCTCAAAAGATATAAAATTGTACATACTGCAAAAACTTTTGTTTGCTGTTTGTTGTATGGTTTTCTTAACCATCTACCAGTTTCTTTTCAATTTAACATTTTAGATTTCGAAATTTTCTAGCATTGACAAAGTGCTGAGCTAAACGAGAAAGACAATATCTGTGGCTAAACGAGACAATATCTGTGGAGAAAGATGATACACGTAACATAATTTTATAGGAAGAAAATAGAAGCATACAGGAGGAGAGAATCTATAAGAAAAATACACAACAAAGAAAATATTAAGTATTACAATAAATAAATAACACGTATAAACATATAACAATTAATTAAACTCTTACACATTTGAATGCAACTAAATTTTTATTAGTGTATATACACAGCATTGATTATCTTTTCTATTTTAAATTATTATTTTTTTTCCCAATGGCAGGCACTGAACTTTATTCGTTTCGCCTTAGAAGATGCCAGAGTTGTAACTCATTTCGCGTTACCCAGTGGGCACCTGTGAACCAAAGTCACGGAGGCGAGTAGCATTGCCCACGCCACACTGTCACAAACCCGTTTATAGGGTGGGCCACATTCATACATCACACACAACAGAGGACAACACAAGAGAGAGAAACATCCATGCCCAGAGCGGGATTCGAATCCGCAGTCATTGGCTTCGGATTCAGGCGCGCTAACCGCTCGGCCACCTGGCCGCTTATTTTAAATTACATTTTGTGTCAAAATGCTAGTTCACAAAAATATGTAAAAACTTTTTTTTTAAGCTGTAACATTATACAAGTTTGTTAAGAAAATTTAAAAAAAGTTTAACTTTTAATTATCTCAGTTATGTTTTACACATTTATAAAAACGCCACTGTTTCAAAAATATAATTTCTTATTGGTTTAGGCTCTTATTCGAAAATTGGTATATAATGTTATAAATGTAATTAAATAGAATACTCATGAAGTAAAAAAATATTTCAATGAAAATGTTTGCTTGGTACAATTATTGATTAAACTTAGCAAAATTTTATTTGATTTATATTATAGTACTACAGTTGCAATTGATAAAAAAAAGCAACAACAACTTAGATTTTATTAATTATTTAATATTTAGTTTTTAATATTATTTCACACAGAATTCTTGCAATATAAGGTATAAATTATTAGATTTATCTTACTAGATTTATTATTAGATTATTATCTTATTAGATTTAACGATAATCTATAAGCAGTTAATTATAATAATATATGGGTCTTTCATTGTAAAAGTGAAGTATCGACTTAAAATTGAATTTCGCAATAACGAGCTTCAAAGAAATTTAAATGTAAGGAAGCAAATAGAATTGTACAGTGAAAAAAGAAAAAAAAATTTAATAACTTATTAATCTAATGATTTTGATTTAATGATTTTTTGATCTTCACGTTCTAGGACTCAATCTTATTGGTTTAAAGAGAAGACTTTAAATATGCTAATTAGTTTGTGTTAGTATTATTCGAGACGAAATCATATACAAAAACACACTTTCGCTGAATAAACATACATTTTTTTCGATGTATACGGATTTCTGATCTCTAAAATTAGTGGAAAGTTGCAATCTGAGAAACATAGTTCCAATAATTTGGGCTGAAGAGTTGTTCAAAGTTTGGACCTCTTAATATTAATTTTACTTTTGCGTATTTCGCAATAATTCGTACTAATATTGCGTATTTTACCATAATTTGTATTTTACCATAATTGCCTATTTTGCTTATTTTAACGTATTTCACGAACTAAAAAGTTTTTTCACATGATTACAAAATTCGTCTTTCTGAAGATAATTTTATGCAGAAAATAATTTTTAACAATTATTCATTAATTTTTGTTATTTTTTTTATTAATAGTCAAAAACGTTTTGAATGGCAAGGCATACATATTTTTACATCATTTTAAGGAATGTAATTTTATGTTGCAAAATACAAAAGTTTAACAAAATCGGTCGAATAGTTCTGATTCAATATTTAATATTCAAAGTTAAAGATTGAGAAAGATATTGAATAAGTAATAATGAGTCCCAGTGCATTAACATCTGATCATTAGATCAAGAGTTATTCAGGGTGTACAACATTTACGTGCTATACAACATTTTAGGAAATATGCGAATATTTAGGCGAATTGAAAAAATTGTACACACTTGATAAATTCTTTTATTCTAAGATAATTACATGCAAAATTCAACTTTAAGTAAATATGCATTATTTTTTTTAATCATTTTAAGGAATGTAATATTACATGGCAAAATACAAAATTTGAGTGAAATTGGTTTGGTAGCTCCAAAGAAATCAAATTTTTTAAAAAAAATCGTAAGTTTGAAATTTTAATTTTCTAGAACTACTGATTCCTAAAACGTGAATATCCGGTCATTAGATTAAAAGTTAATAAGTTTTTTTTTTTTTTTTTGCATTTTGTACACGCTAAGTATTCAAAAAATTAATGTAAATAATAAAATCGTAAACGAGATTTTAATATACTAGGCATTTTTTATGGTAAACAACATATTGCATTTTTTTGTTTTTTAGAATAAAATTTTTTTATCATTTTTCTAAAAATTCTATTTTAATGCTGACAGCATTTACAAAGGTGATAAAATTGGTTGTCAAGCGGGTTTTTAAAAACTAATCGCGAAGAGCATTAGTTGATATTTCAATTGCATAGCAGCTTTGGCAATAAGTGTAACTGTTTCCCATCAACAATGTTAGATGAAGAATTAATGTGATAAAATAAAGACCTCCCTTTCAGGAAATAAAAAGACAATTTTTCTTTCATGTTAACTTACAGAGAATCACAATTTTGTGATCTATTCCGTTACTAATTAATATCTTTAGCTTCATTTTATTCATTAAAATGTGTTTTATCTAAATGGTTTTCAAATTTTAAATTTAAAAGCTGTAATTATGTTAAAATCTTTTCAAAGTCTAAAAGTTTTCATAGTTCAAGTTCTGAACTTACAAACCTAAATTTTAAAATTTGGGAACTAGGTTCAATAAAACATATTTCAATGAATGAAATGAAACATAAAAGATTCCTAAATATTAATTAGCAACTGAGTAAATAAGGAAATTAAGTTCGTAAAATTCTCTGTAGGTTAGCATAGAGGAATATGAATCCTTGACCTAAAGGGGGAACAACGCAGTATAATTCCAAAAAGTTAAACGTTTTTTTTTTAAAATTGAGTTGACTAATTTTTAGTAATCCATGAGAAAATAACTTATTTTACGTTATTTCTAGAATTTTGTTTTCAAAACACTGACATTTTGTGAAACAAATTTATTTTTAAAATATCCTGTAACGCAAACTACATTCACGCAGTTTAAAAAATCAAAACGGAATCAAATTTTGATGATTGTTTTTCAACTAATGAGTGCAGTAACTTATGGATAATTTAAAAAATAAGTTATAAGCATTGAATTATATAAGCTCTAATGATAAAGTATATAAGAAAAGTATGATATAACGCGATAAAGTGAACATTAAACTATGTACAACAAGATAACAAAAAACATGTCAAGTTTATCCCTATCGTTGAAAAAATTCATTAAAAAACCCTTTTTTATAACAGTTTTCTGCTTCGTTTTTCTTACCTTAAGTAGAGAAATATACATCTTTAAAATATGGAGTTACGCCTCATTTTCACAATGAAATGAACGAAAAACTTGTCAAAATATCGCATCTAAATCTTTCATCGAAATAATTCATCTTCGCCAAGAATGTACTTTTCACCATATCTAAAATAGTTATTTTCTGTTAAGAATTAAAATATTTAAATATTTTTCAGCCGTTATAATTCTTTTTCTATCCTTGACTAAAATTTTGCATTATCTTAGATTGAATCTAGGAAATGGCCCAATATCTAATTGAAGAATCTTTATTTTTAATTATTTTAGTTTTATTACGCACGCAATAGAGCTAGAGTTCAAAATCGATTTAAGAATTTAATGATGTCAATAATGATTGCGACATCCTTTGTGCTTCATAGATAATATTTTTTTAAAAACTTCCGCAATAAGTATAACGTATTCATTAGTTTGATGAATACAATAATATATAGAAAAAAACTCCAATATTAGTAAAACAATATATGTGCCATTGTCTGCAAGAGCGATGCAAGATAGTTTTCCTTACAAAATAATTAAGCATTTTCTAAATTAGCGACACCAAAAATTATGCAATTGATTAAGAAAAAGAATCCTTTCTTCAGTGAGTAAAAAATTGCGAAATTTCTAATTAGTGAACGAATAAATGAAATGTAAGTTTGGTGGCTTATTCCATTTTACTCAACAGGCCCAATATAGGGAAAGTAATCAGTAATAAATTCTTTCATTTAAAAAAAAAAATCTAGAATGACTATTATAAATACTTCTAGTCAGTGTAGATGAAATTTAACTAAAAACAGACCCTTCTTAAACACAATTCGTATTCCCTCATCAACTCACAAAAACATTTACCTCATTGATAAAACTCTCTTCTGTTTATGCACTGAATGTATATTTAATGCACTGCGTCTTTTCTGAATCTTTGCATTAGGTAAGTTTTTAGTTTTTCATATTAAAGAATCAAATGTATATATATATATATA